AGCTTGCAGGCCGCACTTTCTTGTAATAGATGATCAACATGCATAGACCGTTTTCTCGTCGGAGTTTCAACTTTCAAATTGCCTTCAAATTCAACCATGCATTGTTTCGCTATGTATAACGAAAAGCTAAATTTGAGAATCGAAACTGATAACGCCTGAATCAATATGTGTGACGAGAATAGCAGGAGCCATAGAAGAGTGTATTCCCGATTTAAGTGGTCTAGCCAGCCCTGTCTATATGTTATAGTCCAGAAGCTCGCAGGATTTAGAATCGAATGCTGAAACCTGAATTTAGTCGAAGGATTTGAAACGGCCTGTTCCATTCACTGATTTAATCCCAACATCTTCAACGTCCCAACTAGTGCGCAACAATACGAATCGTGCTGACCCGCAGAAATTCAGTTGAAACAGAGAGACTCTCATGAACTGTTAAGTTCAATTTATTTTCATTGTAACGAACATAGACGGTCCTATTCCGAAATTGTTATGGTACTATATGTGAATTAAGAATAAAAAACGATTCCTACCATTCCACCTATCGCTAACAAAGAAATTAAACTGCACGATGCAGTAATTCCATGATGTCACGATTTCGGTCAGTTCCACATCCATCCGCCGTAGCTCCACCATGGTGGGGTGTGTCGCCACTGTCCAGAGGCCTCGTGGCGGTGTGTGTCTGTGTGTGGGATGTTTGTGTCTGTGGGGGAGTGTGTTTTGATCCGGGCTGACCGCTCTCGTTGTGTGTCGATCCGGCTCTGCCTGCAGTGACCCTCGCTGCCCGGAAATTACTCGGGAAATGGCCACAGCGCCATATGTCACAACTAAATTGGTTTCCCAGCATCAATTTATGAGCAGGGCCGGCCCAGTTTACGAGACGGCAAGGCCCATCATGGAAGGCAAATGCAAGCCGTTCGAACCAGAGCGCCGGCTAATGGGAGCCGATGACAGCGGCGTGGGCTGTCTGTAGCCGAGACAACACGAAACCGAGCAGCACTGCATGGGCAGTCTGACCCAAACGATACGAACGAACCGCACTGTCATGATCCGGTTGGAAGAAACAAACAGCTGATGAGGCTGTCATAGCCGGTATTAGAGATGAGTTTTTGCATTAGCGCGATGTATTTGGCAAATATAGCAGCCTAATGACAGATGATATTGAGGCATGGGGAGAACGGAATCAGTGAAATTGCGAAGATGAGGAAGAAAGATAAAACGTTTTAATAAGATTTAATCTATGCAATATTGGAAACAAATGGAAATTGACACGACAGTAAACTTCGTCGGATGAAAACAAAATAAAGCGACACCAGGCAGATACAGTGGCGGATCCAGGGGGGGGGGGGCAAAATGGGCATTTGCCCCTCCCAAACGGCATAATTATAACATTACGCCTATGGACGAGGCATGGAAAGAATCGATAAATTGTTATGGTTTGCTCCCTCCCCAAACTCTGAGCTGGATCCGCCTCTGGGCAGATAACGATATTGTGCATTGCAAACGGAAGAAAACAATGCATTCCCGTCCGTTTAACCCGCCAGGCTTACTAAACCGCATGGAGGTGTCCCATTAGACAGTGAGCCTGTCAACGGTGTGCAGCAATCTCAACTGCTAACGACCAAGTATCGGAGGGGTTAAAAATGTTTAGGTAATTACTTTTGGCTCGCATTTCTCTGCGAGCTACTCAAGGGTCTGTATTTGCGTGGGTGACTATGTAGACTGTACCGCATCACACTAGTGTGCGGCGGCACAGCCTACCTCCCAGGTTACAAGACCAGCAGGCCGGCGGCGGCTGCAGAAGTTCCACTTTTCACTGTTTCAAATCTCTGAGGCAGTGGGTAGGTACTAGGTATGTAAGGAGCTCGACCTCATGACTGGTTTTCCGGCGACTTTTTGATGCGGATTTGTTCCAGTTGGGTCCGAAAAGGTCCTGCTGGAACGTTTGCATGTAAAACAATTAATTACCCCGATTAGTGAGCAGGTCACCGTCACCATCCCGGAGACGCTGCAGCGGAATATCCGTCAGAGATCTGTCGCTGTCCGGTGACACAACGTCAACCTCTCGTCGGCGCCCCATCAGCCTCCCGTCAGCGACCCGTCGGCCTCCTGCCAGCGTCCCGTCAGCCTCCCGCGTCGACGTCCCGTCGGTGCCCCGTCAGAGCAGCGGCCCCTGTGACAGCGGTGGCGTCGGTTCACGCCGGCCGGTCACGTCTCTGTCACCCCGCCTCGAACGTAACGGGGTCAGAGTGACGGCAGAGCTTAGAGCGGAACTGAACGGAACTTGGAGCAAAGCGCTCAGAACGGGACTCAGAGCAGCAGACCTCAGAGTAGAGCTAAACAGAGCTCAGAACAGAGATCAGACGATGCAAAGATAAACGGAGCTTAGAACAGAGCTCAAACCAGATTCAAGAACTAAATATAACTCAAAGCAGACATCGGAGCAGAGCTCAAAGGCAGAGCTTAGACCAGAACTAAACAAGACCGGGGTAGAGCCCAGAACAGAACTCAGAGCAGAGCGCGAGCGCACGGCCACAAATTAATAATGCATCTGGAACGCCATTCTACCAAAACACATTCTAGCATTTCTATCTCTTTCGGAGAGACTAAAATGTGATTGTCATAATCTAAGTCAGCAAGTCAAATTCTGGCTAACCCGGACAAATTAATCAGCAACTCTCAGTCTCGGGACACCTCGCCCCATTTCTATACGGTTTCATTGACCACTCACTCCAGCAGTCCCACGCGTATTACCTCGCCGTTTAAGGCGTGTTTCGGCGATTGCCTGCGCTCAATAGACAAACAGCGACAGATTAGGTCGGTCATCGCTATTTATCGGAGTGAAATGGGACCCAGACGGCGGCTATCGCAGGGAGGCGGGCTGGACCAACAATTCTGCCCCGGCCGACAGCACACCCCAGCGGCCGACAGACCGATTTCCCATATGGCCTTCCGATCCCTTATTGGTGCGCAATATCGAGGGACACTGCCGGATCTCACAGAACTGGAACGCCAACACGCGCCAGTGTATACTACGGTAGGTATGAGTAGGTATGTGTTTCTGGTATCTTCTTGAGATGCACTCGGCGTCTGCACATCTAATGCTACCTAAATATGGTTAGTCAATTTTTTACGAGGTGTCAGTAAGTTAAAGCTATTTTGGGAGGAGCCTCGTCTAATTTAGGTGCTTTACCGTTATCAGCCGTAATAACATGCGAACCACTAACCGGGTAGCAATATGGTTTATTTTGAGGATAGCAATCGCAGCAAAATATTGATACCTACCCGTTAGGCGGCACGGGCGGACATCGATAGCAGCGCCTCTATCGGTCACTAGGGAAAGCTGGGCTGTAGGCGACGAAATACCGGCTGAGTTGTCACACGTTGAATAGGTTTATAGCCATCCGTCTTGTGAAAAAGTTGAACTTTTGCCTTTAATATTTCCACAGGCAATTTTAGAAGTGTCTTCACATGGATTAAAAAACCGTTTAGATTATTGTATTCACTTCAAGCCTTCCCTATTGTTCTTGATGATGCGGGAACTATTTCTAATTAGTGTTTCTAGCTTAGTAAAAGAACATACTGTGCAAACGATGAAAAAAAGCATAAATGGAAGATTTTAAATGCAATTTTCTCTAACAATTAATGGTAAATTCTCTACATATCAAGGAAAAGGTGCATACTAACTGATAATTTAAAGTTCTTGGGGCCAGTTGTTTTCTTCTTTTCTTACGTCGCCCCAATGGCCGCGAATACACTTGTGATAACGCCTATCGCTACCTGATACGGCACCAATTCAGATCAAGGCAAATCGAGACGAATTGTTTACCTATGCCTAAATTGCCTTCTCAGATCAAATGTATATGAAAGCTTGACGGTTTGACGGCAAGTGTTAATCGTCATACAAAACCGAAATGAATCAAGATTGCTGCAACATGATTTTTCAAATTTACTTTTGAAATCTCCAGGATCTTTGCGAAGAAATAGGGCATTGTTTTAGCGGTTTTAGCCACCTAAGATTCTGAGCTTTAGTTTTTAGTGTTTACATTAGACCGATTAGACCTTGACGACTGGTGTAATGTCGGGTGCGGGGCGCGAGTTTCTCGTGTTATACGTGTCATTCAGGGTTACCGGGGTGCAGTTATTTTTTTACATCTTAGTTTTTGTTTACGCGTTTTTAGACGTTTCTTGGCGCACTGTTGTTGAAGTTATACAGGCCTATTTTACAGCTATTTTTGATTCACAAAACTGCTGCAATTTTTATACCTTTTTTTATTTATAGTCACCGTGCCTTTTTTTGCATATTATCATTTTGATGGAATTGGAATGCATTGAAAGATTTTTATTCTTAAATCTTGAATGCCAATATAATAACAATGTGAATCGAGCCACGCTCGTAGCGAAATATTACGAATCAATGATAATAACACTAACAGTAACCGACAGAAAATATGTAGTTACCGCGATTGTATTAGATAATACTATATGTTCCACGTGAAATTGACAGGAGATACCACAAGAATAATAGCCTAAACAAATATTGAAATAACTGAAAGCCCATAATATCCGATTAGCACTGCTAACGCTGACCATTTTCTTCGATCATTAAATGCTTACCATACCATAACATCTGAAGATAATGAACTTGAACCTCGAAAAGCGAGCTGTCCAGTTTCAGTCTCAGTTTGTGCGGTAATGGGACACATTTATTATCAGTGAATCAAATAAAAATTGTCCGGGGCATCATGCTGTGATTATATGAACCAGTTAATATGTATAAAATCTAGTTATTGGCCAAACGTAACGCGGCCACCGACCGTAGGTTGACGACCCCGAAATTTAGCGAAATGAAGTATAGGTTCAAGCAGTTTAAGTAATGCTGGTGCGTGGAGTTGAATAGTGATGTAATGGCCACAGTCTACAACCACGATAACAAATATCGATTGCGCTTCGCTCAACCAGCTCGTTCTTGCTCAAGAAGCAGCATCCCTATAAAATGAAAAGTCTGAACGAATGCATTCAGGTTCCTACCTCTGAATCACCTTATATTGAGATCCGTTTCTTAACAGGAACACAAACGCGGCCCATCAATTCGTCAGTAAATTGCACGATTTCCAAGCGCAGTTTGAAACCAAGTGCGACCAGCTAGTGTCATTTTCACAACCAAGTGTGACCAGTTAGTGTCTCGAGACACATTACAACTGCATAGGTACCGCAGTAACACATTAGGGGCGAAAGGAAACACATGACTTGTGTACGACCAGCGTTCTGTCAGCGCACGAAGCATAAAGCAAACTGCTCAAACAACTGGTCCCGAACAACACAACACAGAGCTCCGAAACGAATGGTTTACAAAAGTCTACGACTGACGACATCGAAACAGTACGTTCATCGGGACTAGTCACATGACTCGCTCAACCCAGCTGGGTTATGGGTACTAATTGCGCTTCAAATTGGCCTCTGACAGCCATTTACTTACGCTAGCTTGATGCATAAAACTGTACATTGAAACTCAAGCGGCAGCACATAGGTCTCCATCAAGGTGGTTATATACAACAGAGCACCACGCTAAAACGAGCGCGAGCCGCACTGTCACAGACAGAACACTGAGCCGCGAGTCGTGACAGTCGCACTGCGTCATATGCACGCAGATGTCGCACTCACGGCACCGTTGCTGGCACTGCGCTGCGGGTGGACACGCGCGGTGCAGTAGCTCCACGGTGTGCGGCTCACCGGAGGGATTACCAGTCTGCGACCGGACAGTCCAGGCGGGAAATGCGGTGTCTTCAACCATGACTGCCGTCCCCGTCTCCGCGGAGTGCCTAACGGCGGCGACGCGGCGGCGTCGGATCTTGAGCTGGTGGACACTTGTACTCCTGCCAGAGCTACCAGCTTCAGCCCTTCAGCATCCTGTCATCAGCAAACTCCAGCAGAGCTCCAATGCAACTGGGAAAATAAAATTTATGCTGTTAAGCTAAATCATGCAAAACATTTCCTTGCACAGGATTCTCTTGCGCAGTTCAGCAAAATCTTCTGTGATATCTATGGCCGTGACAAGAGGACTTTATGCCATTGTAAAAAAACATAGGTTCATTGGTTCTCATTTACCCACATCGAGCTTCTATAGGTACCATTCATTTGTATATCATGAAGTATGTTAACTACACAATATTTATGCAATAGACTGACATGAAATATGTAGGAATGGCAAGAGAGATGGGTAAATAAGCCAAATAGGTTGCAGGATTTATTGGCACCAAACAGGTCAGAAAGTAGAAGTTCAAACAATCTTACAAACTACACCAGAGAAAGTCTTTGAATTAGGTACAAAATTATGCCACAGAAACAAAAGCAATGCAGTTTTGTAGAGCATTTCCCAAAAGATAATTGTCATTCAGCCTTGCTCCCATTCTGAGATTGAATAAATACAAATTATGGGGTGAAAGTTACTAAAAAGCAGTTTTTTTTTAGAAAACAGCTTCAATTCATGTTTGCCTGATTTCAAACACAAGGCAACATATCATAGCTTTGACAGCATCAGCATGAAATTTCATTATTGAGGTTACAATTTCCATAATCTTGTCACAAACAGTGCACTTTAATATGGATAACTAACACCAAATCAGCCAACCTTGTATCTTTATCTGGTGAAACTCAAGAAACCAATAAAGCAAACAATTTCTGAGCAAAACATTTAAGTATTTGACAAGCTCAAGCACCATGCAGCCACTGGAGTATGATGGGGTCTCGTAACTTGAACGTTCAGTCTGTAAGAGCATGCCTGACTTGACTTAACAGATTTGAGGCATCACAAAGACCTTTGCAGCAGCTCCTTCTATTCTTTTTTAACATAAACTTTAACTATCATTACCATGCTATGATGAGATGGCTGGTTTCGGGAGCATGAAAAGTAGCAGCCTTCTTTCATTCTATTTCCTTGTTTTCACATGCTGCACAAAATGTTTTTCTTCCACGTTCCTTCTGTCATTATAAAAAATAATAGGTATCATAATTGCTTCACTTCTTCCTTATATTTCAAGTATTGCTGCTACAATTTATCACATCTCCCGTTAGTAAACCATTGCCCTATGGCCGCTAAAGTAAATAAGTGGAATGCGCCAGAAATTGTCAAAATCGCGCCAAAATAGCAAACTAAGATGAGAAAAAATAACCGCACCCGTGTCATTTGTTATTTTTTCGCATTGCATATGTTGTGTAGCACGCGTTTTTGCCATATTCCTCGTTTTTTGTTCCGTGACTCAATCCAATAAACCATTTTAATTCTAGTCTGCTTTTACTGGTATTGGCGCACCTGCGCCATGAATGCATTTCTGTAACCCAGTTTCAGATATACACCTTATGCCTTTTACCAGTTCTCACTTCTCTTAGTAGTTAGTACAATATAAAGTAGGTACTAGGTATGCTGCTTATTGTGTCACTGTAACTTATATGGCCGTGGTCACTGTCAGATATAGAGCTTAAAGGCCTAGCTACGCTATGCATTTTCCGCGTGCGTTTTTTGCGTAATATCGTTCTAGAGAAAATTTATAAATAATATAATTTTTGCATCAGTTGTGGATTATTTATATACAAAAGTTAATCAAAGTCTTATATTAACTAAAATTTAATGTTAAACATCACAAAAACATTATGTCGTTTCTTTTTCTAGAACAATATTATGCAAAACACGCATAACCGCAAAACACGCAAGCTGAAAATGCATAGTGTAGCCAGGCCTTAAGTTTCTTACAGATTCCATTCCATTCAATTTGCTTGAAGTTTGATCATAATTCACCCACCATGTTTTGGCATCCAATATTTCTAAGTGTACTGGACAGTAAAAGCGGGTGCCTACAGGTGGTTTCAGAGTTCAGACTATCTTAAAATCTCCCTTCGTTAAAATAACCAGGCAGATTTGAGATGACATCTGGAATGGCCTGTGGGCACCTGCCTTGCTTGCACTAGGTTTATAGTTAGTTATCTATCTTCTACAGGGTGGGGCAGAAAGATTTACCTCTTGATTTTTGAAAATATTTCGATCCAGAACTAAGATATTCAAATGATTTTTGGTACACGTATTCAGTAGCATGTACACATCTCAGCAACGGCACTATGAACCAATATGGCCACCTTTGGTCTTCACCCCTGCCCCGAAACCTCCCCCTGCGGAGAGGCGCGAGTGCCGCACGATGTCCTCGTCGAAATTCGACCATGCCGTCGCGAGGGCCAGCTTCAGAGCGGCGATGCTGCTGTGTGGTGTTGCGCACATCTCGCTCTCCAGGATGGCCCAGGTGGTGAAGTCCATCGGGTTCAGGTCTGGACTTGATGGTGGCCACATGTCCTTGTCCCAGAATCCAGGCATTTGGGTCTTGCACAACTGTTGAGTGAAGTTGGCCGTATCAGTATGAGACGACGCAACGTCCTGGACGACGACGTATCCGTCTCGGAACGACAGCGATCCAAGGCAGAGCATGTTCCTCTAGCAGATGGACATAAACGTGTGAACTGACTTTCACACCCGCCTCGATGAAGATCAAGGGTCCTTTTGAGCCGTCGGATGCGACGGCAGCTCAAATCATGACACCAGCAGGGTTGTGGTGACCAAAACTGGCCTGGATAGCAGGATTAATGCTGCATGTACCATCTACCAAGATTATGTCGCATTGAGAGTTCATCTGGGGCTGAACCGTGGAAATCTTTTTTATCAGATCAGAGGAAGACCTTGCTACCGGCGCTTCTGATTTCCTCCAATATCTTTTGGGCCCTGTGAAGCCGCCTCTCCTTGGATGCCGCCGAAATTAGGTGTCGACGTTGCATCGTGTACGACTAAGGCTCAAAACGTCGTTTATGATTCTTTTGATCGTTTTGGGCCAAAAATCGAGGTCCTTTGCCAGTTTGCGCATGTTTCGCCAAGGATTTCGAGACACCATCTTGTGTACGATATCAACCAGCTTTTTGGTGCGGACATGTCTTGTTCTGCCTGGGATGGGCTTCGTCGACACTGTACCTGTCCTTTTAAGGCATTTCATTAGATTGTTAACAGTTTTCATGGCAACACCGAGCTGTTTTGGAACGCTTCGGACGCTGTGGCCAGCCTGCATCGGCGCCGCAATTTGGGCTCTTTTTGTAAACTCCGCCGTAGCTCATCAACAACCACGACAGAATTAAAACCGATCAGAACAATAATACACGAGTCAGTTGGGAAGCCGCATGCAAAATCTTACTAAAATCCGTCCAAAACTTTTTGAGTTATGGGCTAAAAACAAACAGGTAAATCTTTCTGCCCCACCCTGTATTTTCATAAGGTCATAAAATGTTTTTGAAAGCTTATTTCATTTATAACATAGTTCACTTTTAATTTGGATATTTAAATTGAGCTCAGCCTCAGGGTCTAAGGCATGGGACAGCTGTTGAACTGGACTTTTGCTAAGCAATGTGTTGCTTGCTGAGTGAGAGGCCACAAAATGATATCATGGTTTGGCTCTGTGTGCTAAGAGAACGCCCTTCTCTACACATTTTCAAGATGGAAATTTTTTAAAATGTTATGCACAGGCAATACACCCATGCTAAATTACAAGCAGTGGGACATTTCATTTCGGAGTTAGGCATTCCGATTGGATTGACATCAAGTTCCTTACATTATGAGTGACATGCCTCTGACTAGTGCTACTTGCTAGCTTTTGCGTGCTTTGTGTACCTACCTTTTCTTGCTAGTCACTGTTCAATTAGCTGATCTGTTGTGTAGTCATATTGCTGCTTGGTATTGACATTGTGTTTTATTCTATTACTTTTTTTTACACAGGACAAGTCAAGTATTGTGAGTCAAGATGTTGGAGGAACCAGGCATTGAGGATCCTGATGTAATGAAGGAGGTTCCATTGAAGGTAACCATGTTCCATGCAGAATGGACATTTTGTGCTGTTATAACCTTACCTACATTTTTTCTTGTGCCTATTATGATATTCAGTACCTATAAATGGTAACAGGCTTTTGAGTTGTATAATATCAGTCCACTGCCTACTACCACAACATGCTTTGACAATTTTTCCCCAAAAATTAGTGATCCATTTTCTTCGTGTGTTTGGATTTTATATCCTCTCAATAAATTTTTGTGCCACTGGGCAGCAATTTTACTTCAGTGGAGCAGTTCATGCAGCAATGCTGTTTACAAATCTGTTCATTTTGTGTTTATATTATTGGTTTTGACAGACAAGAATAAGTTCTGATTACTCTCAAATTCAATACATCATAAAAATTGTCTACAATTATGGGCTCAATTTTGCATTTTATCAGCCTTCGACAATTTCCCACTGATGATGGCTTTTGTTATTGGATGGTAAAGCTCAAAGGCTATGCATGCCTAGCATTGTCATTATCAAATGTTCAGTGCACATGTCTGACCAAGACCTGCCTGACATTATTTACATTATGGCCTATGGGCAATAATTTACACAAGGGCTGGATCTGCGTGTCTGTGCTGTCTGGTGCCACCGTGCAGTCTGTGACCATGTCCCCCTCTGCCGCAGCCGGGCAGGCCGGAGGAGCCGGACGGGGACGCGGCCGCCAGTCAGCTGGTGGTCGACATCTCGGACGCCCTCAGTGAACGCGAGAAGGTCAAATTCACCGTACACACCAAGGTAGGTCAGCCAAGTATCGCATTAGGGTCTACTCTAGTGTTTTGTCGTAACGACGGCAGTTTTATGGGCACGTGATGACTCCGCCGTAAACGCACCATTAACCCTAACAAACAGGATCGTTTTTTAAGCTGTTTGGTGATCGAGTTGACTAGAGGCATCGTTGTGAAAACCATTCATAATGACTGTATTCAGGTAGATCCCAGTGTGCCTTACTAGACATCGATGACGTATGTTTTCTGTGTCGTGTATCGCGCAGACGACGCTGACGTGTTTCGCCAAGCCGGAGTTTTCCGTGGTCCGACAGCACGAGGAGTTCCGATGGCTGCACAGTGCACTCGAGGAGAACGCAGACTACTGCGGCTTTATCGTGAGTGCCGGCTCGCCACCGGGTCCAGTCCTGACTGGTGTAGCGGCACTTCTGCATCAGTTATTCAGAATCACTCTCACCTTCGGAAATGAGGCTCACTGGCTTAGCCTTTTCCGTTTTATTCCTCTTAGACACATTATTTTGTGCAATATGGCTTCAACTTATTTTGCATTTGTCGAGACTTGTCGATGATAAATTGTATGCATACTTTGTATTCAACCATAAATGTTGCTATTTCACTCGATTTATCGTTGATACACGCTGTCACTGGCTATGCCTGTGACCGGCATGTACTGACTTGTCCCTTGTGCACTGTGCAGATTCCTCCTGCGCCGCCCCGGCCCGACTTTGACGCCTCCCGAGAGAAGCTGCAGAAACTGGGCGACAGCGAGGGCAACATGACCAAGGAGGAGTTCAACAAGATGAAGCAGGAACTCGAACAGTCAGTTTACAGTAATGGCATGCTCACACGCAGCTCACACGCTCAAAATGGTCTTAAAATACTTATTACTGTGCTAATTAATCATTTGCATCAGTTTGCTGTATTCATACGGCAGACAATATTCTTGCTCTCTGCTCACTGCTATACCTACCCTAAATCGTGCGATGTTGACTTCCCGAGACCGAACATTCTAAGTCTGCTATCATTCTTCTGAACTCATGGGTGTTTCGCATTGATGTAGGTATGTAGACACTGCTTCGTGTATCCTTTCAAGCTTACATACTAAGTACTAATACTACTAACACTTCGTGATGTTCCTTACACTTTCCTTTCATTTCCAGGGAATACTTGGCCACATTCAAGAAGACGGTGGCGATGCACGAGACGTTTTTGACGCGGCTGGCTGCACACCCGGTGTTCCGCCACGATCACAACTTCAGAGTGTTTCTGGAGTACGACCAAGACGTGAGTGCACTGCCCTGTGCCGATCAGGGCTCAGTTGGATCGGAAGTGTAGTTTATGGCGGTGTTCAATGTCAGCGGAAGTCGGGATGACGCCTTTTTTATATTATTTCGTTAGAACTACATTGGCTGACTTTTGAAGCTACGACTGAAGTTGAACGTAGACCTAGGTTTGGAATGACTGTGCGTATGTTGCTCAGTAACTACGATTTTTTATACTTATTAACGATAATTGCCATGCCCTTTCCAGCTGTCTGTCCGCGGTAAGAACCGTAAGGAGCGTCTGGAGGGTCTGATGAAGTCGCTCTCCAAGACCACGGACGAGCTGTTGCTGCAGGCCACCCAGCGCGACGTGGATGACTTCTTCGAGCACGAGAGGAGTTTCGTGCTCGTATACCACGAGCAGATCAAAGAGGCCACCCACCGCGCCGACCGCATGACGCGCGCCAGAAAAAGTGAGGAGTCGCTTCAGAGACTTTGAGGCTCCCTTATATGGGCGTTGTGATAGGCTGGCTAGGTTTGGTGTTAGGAATGATAAATGTGAATTATGCCACTTGGCTGCGATATTCTGCTTTAGGAACGAGTTACAGTTGAAGCTTGAGCTTGAGTTGTTGCAAGCATATGAGATATCTCCTATTTTCTTAACCTTTTCTTACTTACTTTCATTATCTGCTCTGACCGATGGCAGAAAGTGTAAACCTGTCATGATATGACTACAGTGTAATAGTGACAGTAGGTACTGTTAGGAACATGGATGCCTTTGTATCCCCACGCCGCCAATCCCGATGGCTGTTCTCACCGAATGTCCTTTATATCACAGGCGTGGCCGACTCTTACATCAAAGTATCGGATGCCGCCTCACAGCTGGGTACCATCGAGTCGCAGCGACTGGACCGGTTCCTGCACAGCGTGGCAGAGCTGTTCGAGCGAGTCAGGGTGAGTCATGGCCAGCTGTTCGAGAGAGTCAGGGTGAGTCGTGGCCAGCTGTTTGAGAGAGTCACGGTGAGTTGTGGCCTCATTGTCAGAATGAGTCGTGGAAGGGGTGAATCAATTCCGTGGTGGTTACAGCAGTTCAGCGAGTGGGCAGTTGTATAGTTCGTGACAATTCCAACTAGTCGTTATCCTTTCTCTAATGTTCTAGCTGTCGAATTAAATGCCAGTTATTTCTGAACCAACGAGCGTTTTCGGCTACTTTTTACAAAGGATTGCATGTTTTAATTGGAAGATAACGAAATTTGCCTCATTGCTCTGGACATCTTGATATTTGAAACCATAGATAACATTAATCATATTATCTAAATTGAAACTAAAGCTGCCTTGACTTAATATTAAAAACCTCATCATTTGTTGTCGGCTTCACGTTCCACTGCACAGATCTCTCCAGATACGATTTTGCTCGCCCACCTCTGCGCAGCACACTAGACGTGACTGAACGGAATGATATTCGTGCAACTGGGCACCGCCACCTGTTGAGGTCTCTTCGGTCCCGATTCCAATCGCCAGCCATCTGGCTGTCAGTGCGACGCTGTAGCCCCCGGTCGGGACATTGTACCGTACTAGTAAACGACACCTGGGCTCCTGTACTCTCGGGAATCGTTCAGTGAGGAAGATTGGTGCTAGCTAAGAGATTTCCATAGAACGGCGAACAGAGTAGCCGTACTTAGATCTTTGGAGTAATATTGAACTTGACATGATGCATGAGCGACGAACATCGATGGAGTTCGAGCGCTCTTAAGTTCTTAGTATCATTATCACTGGCATAAGACGCATAATGGTAATGTTAAGCTTAGGGTGTGTCATTTTGGGCACTTTTTTCGCAAAACATGGTGCTCCACTGATTTTATCGTGCCCCAGACACGTAGAAACCGTGTGACATTTTTTATTTCCCCCAAATATTAACACCCATGCGGCGCCGACCGCCGACACTTTGGCCTATCTCTCAGCATTAGCGACCTCAGCGCCCCTAGCGGCAATGTTTTGAACTAACACGCTCGCTATGCTTTGGGAGCTTACGATCATCATTAAATGCATTTTACCGAAATGACGCCTTGCTGCTGGCTTGTCTGGCACTCAGAATGTTGGTGAAAATGTGATGTTATGCATCTTAAAGCACGAAATAGTTCTGTGTTAATGTATATTGCATAGTACTACCCCCGATCCCCGTCCTGGTCTGACGGGATACGTACGAGCGCATGTTTATAGTGCCTGCTATTAGGTGTCACGTTTTTTTTTTGTAGCGTCGTTCACTGCATAGACCCCCAGATTTTATACTGGACCATTTTGGTTCCAGATGGTATTTGATTTGGCGTGATGAGAACATTATGACGTACAACGGTGGTAAAGTCGTTGATTGATACAGGTTTACTCGCTCCGGTGGGAGGCAGTAGCGGCGGAACACCTTCAATTAAGTGGAGGGGGGGGGGGGGGGCACTGCCGACTTTTGGTCCCATTCTTTCCATGCAACGCCCATAGGGCTAATGTTAAAATGCCCAAATCAGAGGGGGCACGGTGCCCCGGTGCCCTCCCCGTTCCGCCGCTTATGGTGGGAGGGCGGCGTGTGGGACTCAGAAGGAGACTAATGGCTTGTGTTGTGCCTTTGGTAGGACCCTCAGTATCACCGATGCAGGGCCTTCAGAGCCTCCAATTAGGGGCCTTTAGAGGCACTGGTGTGGGGTCCTCACAGACGCCCGTGTGGCCCCTCAGAGGTGCTAGTGTGAATCCCTCATAAGCGCCGGTGAGGGTCCTCACAGAATACAGACGCCGTTGTGGACCCTCAGAGACACTGGTGTGGGTCCGTTACATGTGGGTGTGTGGCCCTTAGAGCTGCTGGTGCGAACCCTTTAAAAGTCGGCAGGGGGCCCTCAACGACCGGGGAGGGGGACCTCAGACCGGCAAGGGGCCCACAGAGGCCGGCGGCATTTTCAGAAGCGCTGTGGGGTCCTTAGATACCGACAAGGTACTCTGAGACGCCAGTGCGGCCCTCAGTCTCTGGTGTAGGGCCCTCAGAGTTGCAGGTAGGTGGCCGTCAGATATGCTTTTGCCGAACCCTCACAGGCGCAGGTGTGGTTACCTCAGAGCCACCAATATAGGGTTGTATAAATAGTGTGGCACTGGCTTGGGGGACCCTCAGTGGTGTCCTTATGGGCCCTTAGAACCACGGTGCTGGTTGTGAACCCTCAGAGGCCCTGCTGAGGGCCCTCACGGTCTCCGTTATGGGATCCTCAGAAGCCGGCGTAGACCCTGACGGAGATCTTAGTGTGGCTACTTAGGGGCTCATGAGGTGCTCTTACGAGACCTGTGAGGTCTTTCTCAGCTGAAATATAGTCAGCGTGGACCCTCAGAGGTCAGTTGGTACCTCAGGGGTCTTTATGGCCGGGTGGGCTCTCAGAAGCACCAGTGAGGGCCCTCAGTCTCACAATCGTCGTAATGGGGCCGTCAGAGACATTGGTGTGAGGCCATTACTGATTACAGGTTGGCGTAAGGCTCTAGATATGGCCCCTCTTGGGCCGGCAAGGACTCTCAGAGGCACGCTAGCGGCCATAAGAGGCCGGTAAAGGGCCCTCAGAGGCCGCCAGTAGCCTTCAGAAGCCGGCGTGTAACCCTCATGGACAATTTAGTGAGGCTTCTTTGGACTCACGAGGTGCTGTTACGAGCCCTATTCTTTCTGAATCGAAATATGGCCAGCATAGACCCTGAGCGGTAAACCGGTGCCACAGAGCCCCTCCGACCCGAGGGGTCCTCTGAATGCGATAGGGGGGGGGGGGACTAGATGGCACGTGCCTCCTGGGACCCCCTGACTACGCTACTATTTCATATGCGTCATGTCAGGTATTTTGGGCTTGCACCCCAACTTGAAGAATGTTCCTGGGCCCCTGTGATAATATATTGTATTCATTATAGGTATTCGTCATTAGCTTGCACTCTCTGCAATCTGCCCATACTATTATTTGTCCCTAGACGCGCTTACAGAGAGCAGGGATAAGCCCATACAGGCAACGGCCTGTTAGTTTCGCAAACAGCCGCCAGGGGCGCTAGGGTCGCCTATGTTGTGAGATAAGGCAAACTTCTCTCGCTCGGCGCCGCCTGGGGGTTAAAATTTGCGGGAAATTAACAATGCCACGCCCTTTCCACATGAGTAGAGCACAATAAAATCGATGGAGCACCTTGCATTGCGATTAGTGACACACCCTATTAAGCATGTAGAGTCGTAGACGTTCCTAAATATGAAGGCGATCATTATGGTGACCTCTATGGACTCGTTAGCGTCTCGCCTTGCTACTACATAGATCCTCACTCCTTAATCTGTCTCCGCCCTCAGAAAGCCGAGAACCGCGTGGCCTCTGACGAGGACCTGAAGCTGTCCGACCTGCTGCGGTACTACCAGCGGGACGCCACGGCCGTTAAGGCGCTGCTCTACCGCAGACTGAGGCTGCTCTCCGACTACGAGCAGGCTAACAAGTCACTGGAGAAGGCGCGCTCCCGCAACCGAGAGGTACACGCGGTGAGTGAGGGATGGGAGGACCTCAGAGGGGTGGAGCGGACGTGCAGTGATCGGGGGTGTCGTACTAGACTAGTGGTTCGTTAAGTGCCATACTAACCTGGCCTCATGTGAGAGGGAGTGGATAAGGAACATGTTTTACGTAGCCCCCTCTGACAAATGTCTGAGTTACTTATCACTAGGTGGATATCATGGACGTTGTAAACTATCTGTCCGCCCGCCCACCATGCCGCGACAATATCCCGTCAACGGTCAAAGTCCATGTGATGTCCATGTAAATTGTAATTCTGGGCAGCACCACGTCACACTACCCATAACTCGCGTCTGGAACCCCATCCATCCCGCCTCTAACCACGCTGGCCGGTGTCGGAGGCAGCTGCAGCGGCCGCTCCGCAGCCTCGGTTACGGCGGCTCGCGCTGCTTTCTCCAGTGGGTGGCGCCACTGCGGCGACGGTGGCGCGCTCCAGTCGCCGTCACACGCCGCGTGAGGGCGCGCCCGCACCGGGCTGGGACTGTGTGGGCGTCTGGTGATGGTGTGGCGTAACTGATGTCCAGGGGTTGTGGCATGGCGTGGTTCGATGGGATAGCGAGTTATGATTTGTGATTTTCCGGCTGCTTGGCTGCTGAGCCGTGATAAGCTATCTGTATGGGTGACATGTGGTGTGCTGATGGGGCTGGACTGGTGACGTCTGCTATGTCGTGCCTCGTGGTGTGCTCAGTCTTGGATTGGTTCGGTGTATGGAGTGCTGGCGCTAATGGGTTGTGATTTGCCGAGTGCTCGGCCGGTGAGGTGTAGTTTGGTCGTTTGCTTGGCGGTTATGTGTGCGGCTGACTGCTGTGACTTGTGGAGTGTGACCTGCAGCGTGCAGCGTGCCGACTGACGACTGGCCCGGGTGGTTTGTGTCCGGTCAGGTGATGGTTTGTGTTTGGGCAGCGATTGTTTGTATTTGGGAGGGTGATTTTTTCCTATTTGCTTGGGTGGGTGATTGTTTGGTGGGATGTTTGGTAGAAGACCAGCGTAGGGCTGTTTAAAGTGGTGAAATGTTACTTCGCAAGGTGTTTCTCTTTACGCTTCTACCTCCACTCTGAGGGCTCATAGCTTTCTGAATTGTTATCCTTACATTTTCCTATCATTCATTTATACCGATTGAATTATTTCATCGAATGGAAAGGACCAAATGATGATCTGGTCAATTTAATAAAGCTCGCATCCGCCTCACCGCCAGCCGAGGCTGTCAATGTACTGTGAACATGGTCGCTTTATGCGTTCTTTGCTCAATGTCCCCTCCACTGAGCAGTCGATTGAGCTGCAAAGTACCGTTGACAATTCACCGACGGCACCATCACTGCAGATCTTCATTGGCATTAGAGGACTTGTGTATCCGCCCCAGTACCTTTGTCATTTAAGTGAGGAACTCAGGCATTTGCCCTCACGACTAAAAGCTCTATATCATGAATCATTTGTGAGCCTGCGTCAGGGTCGAATCTTCCAGTTTAGCTCATCGCTAGTTTTTGGCGAGGTTTTGCATTGGACACTGCAAAAGTCCCGGTGTTATGTGTCGGCGTCAATCTGACTCGCAGTAACGTCGTGTATATTTTGAGCTGACGCCCCACACCTCATTCACTTATAGCGGGACAATGCCGGATGCTCCTCCGGAAAACCTGTATCCTAAACGGCCACCCACCCCTGTTCATAATTACCCGACATCTCTGCTGACCCGCCCGCACTGGGACAGTCAACACAAAATGCTGCTCAACAAAGGATAGGATGTCTCTTTTTATCTCTGTCCCTCCCCCTCCTCTCCTTCATCCCTCTCTTTCTCTCTTTCTCTCTTTCTCTCTCTCTCTCTCTCTCTCTCTCTCTCTCTCTCTCTCTCTCTCTCTCTCTCTCTCTCTCTCTCTTCTCTCTTTCTCTTTCTCTTTCTCTTTCTCTTTCTCTTTCTCTTTCTCTTTCTCTTTCTCTTTCTCTTTCTCTTTCTCTTTCTCTTTCTCTTTCTCTTTCTCTTTCTCTTTCTCTTTCTCTTTCTCTTTCTCTTTCTCTTTCTCTTTCTCTTTCTCTTTCTCTTTCTCTTTCTCTTTCTCTTTCTCTTTCTCTTTCTCTTTCTCTTTCTCTTTCTCTTTCTCTTTCTCTTTCTCTTTCTCTTTCTCTTTCTCTTTCTCTTTCTCTTTCTCTTTCTCTTTCTCTTTCTCTCTATCTCTCTCTCTCTCTCTCTCTCTCTCTCTCTCTCTCTCTCTCTCTCTCTCTCTCTCTCTCTCTCTCTCTCTCTCTCTCTCTCGCTCTCTCTCCCTCCCTTTCTCGTTTTCAGGAACATGTCTAACGACAAATTATATATCTCTGCTATGCTGATGGTGTGGGTGATTGCTTTATCCTTGTGCTCATGGGATGATGATGCTATCAGCTGTGTACCTCGATCGTTCTTTTTGTGGAAAACTATGTACTACATTTACATCGCAGACTCTGTTACTGCTTGCTTAGGCTGTGGAAGTTGTAGAGGTAAGGTTCCACGTATACTTTCTAATGCATGCGGCACGTTTTGGTATTCTAGCTAGCAGTATGTGGTTTTTATCGTAATTGATTATCATAATTGATATGCGAAACCACTGTATGATAGATCACTTGGGGCGACGAACCCCATCAGTTCATTTAGCTAATGCTTTTGCATTTGCGGTAAGGCCTGAAAAGATGTGCATACCTTGCGGGTTATCAATATCTGAGAGGATAGAAAACAAGGCTTTTATAATAAGTGATGCGTGAGCATACGTCCATCGTGTTTCACGAGGAAGCCTCTCATCATTCCTAGATCGCCAGATTCAGATTCAGACTCATTCATTTTCAGATTCATCACTTCCTATCATGGTCCTCAGATTTATGTGGAGCGAACATGTTAAACCGATTACCTATATATGCTGTTGGGGCGTCGTGGCTATAAAGGAATTGCGAGCAATGTGGCCATTCTGTGGCGCTATATCCGAGTGATCCTGCCCGGACACGCCTCTGATTTAAACTGCATTGCTACGTTTCTCAGCGGCCGCAGCCTGTACTGAAGCCCTAATTGTAGTGGATGTTTATTGTAGCCATTGAGCGTTGCTGTCGGTATAGAATGTCATTGCAGAGTCGACGCGCGTTCACGGGTACAGGAATGAAACCCTGGCCTTTTAACGTGATAAATATGTTAAAAGAACGGCATGCCCGTAAACCCCAATGAACGAACGGAATCGACGTTATTTTTGTGTTATTTTGTTATATTCCGTATTATGAGATTGCGGCCTTGTTATTGCATTTTCTTGTTATAATTTGTAAAAAAAAACGCTTCCAAACATCATTTAAAATTGATTTGGGGCGATCATGTCTAGTTAAGAACGTTTGTTATTGGAATGTCTTGGGTAAAATAGTAAAATATGGGTAACGATTTTGAACAATAACCCGCGCCGGGCCGGGGGGTGTTTGAACACCCCCCCCTGCGGTTTTTCGCAGATATCTCAAAAACGGCGGCGCGCTCCCGCCGCCGTTTTTGGCACATCTGTTCGTGCATCTTTTCCGCACATGTTGTAGAAATTTCAGACCCATGTCACCTTAGGTCAGGTCACCAGGTCACGCCAAGTGACCTCACCTCAGAAAAAAATAAGAATGCTCGTCATAGCTACACCGATTGATCGATTGCCTTGAAACTTTCAGCGATTGATTAGAGCAACATTATCTATAAAATGTATATCTCGGAATTTTGATATCGGTGACCTAAGGTCAGGTTAATTTTGCGACGTCTCCATTCAATGGGATGAAATGGGATGGGAGAAAATTGAAAAGCGTCTGTTTTGCACGAACGCTATTCTAGACACTCTCAAACATCGAGATGTAGGTAAAATGGACACACTGAACCGGAAAATGGCAACTGTGACCCCTCGTTATGTCCCCGAGGTCATCTCAGGTCATGGACAGAATCTAATAGTTTTTCGCTAATAACTTCTGATAGAGACGTGCTAGAGCGCTGAAAAAGCCTTAGATGTGTTCGGCTCGACGTTGCGGATCGACTGATATGCAACATGACCTTTTCCGGTCAGGTCATGACCTTGACCTGAGGTCAAATTTTCAAGTTGACCTTTCAAGGTCAAATTATAGTTCATTCGACGCGTCTCGACGAGAGGAACACGATGGTGGCAAACGTAATGTCGTGGCTCTTTTGAGTCAAAAGATATTGCCGAAAAAACGTTTTTCGTAAAAACGGCTATTGGAGTTTTTGCCCTCTGGAGGCTAAACCGTTGACCTGAGGTGAAATCTGAGAACATTACTCAGAAAGGTCTGTAAAAGGGCTATCGAATGCGCTTTTCCGCGGCGCTGTAGCTCTATCGGTTCCCGAGATAGCCGTTGGCAGTTTCCAAAATGTTGAAATAGTGGACATTTGACCTTTGGTGACCTCTGGTGACCTGACCTTTGACCTGACCCAAAAAATGACCGAAGTGTTTTCGTCCTTATTTTGGACGTTCTTTCTATTGCCGCTTACCGCGTGTCGCTACGTGGCCCAGGAGCCGAGTTAGAAGGGGGGGGGTGTTCAGACACCCCCCCCCCCCGGCCCGGCGCGGAATCTCAGAGCACCGGCCCGGCGCGGGATAACCTTTAGGTACTGATGGAATTAGGTAAATGTGCCTTGGCTGATAGCGAAGATATTAGTACTCATCAGAGGTTGGCTTTATTTTATAAGAAAATGCCCCACATTTTTTACTTTTTTTGCACTCTGCATGTATGAACCGCAAAATACGAGTAACTAGGTACCAGGGCTGCGGAGTCGATGGATTTTCGGCGACTCCGACTCCGACTCCGACTCCGGCTTTCAAAAACTAGCTCCGACTCCGACTCCGACTCCGGGCAGAATTGTCGACTCCGACCGACTCCAACTCCCGACTCCGACTCCGCAGACCTAGCAGGGCTGCGGAGTCGACAGATTTTCGGTGACTCCGACTCCGACTCCGGCTCGGGTTTCTAAAATCGACTCCGACTCCGACTCCGGTCACAACTGTCGACTCCGACCGACTCCGACTCCGACTCCGACTCCGACTCCGCAGCCCTGCTAGGTACTACACACTCCTGAATTCGGATTTCTAATATCATTCATTGAAGGATAGCGATTTAGGTAACTTCAGGTCTGTAAGCTACGGATTTTAATTTCTGTGCTCTGATCAGCATGCAGCCCGAACTTAATATGCGGTTCCTTTTTGCCCAGTGCTCTGTGGGATTCGCTGGAAGTTCTCTTACAACTGCATTAACCCTCGCCCGCACATGCCATTTTACCATCCTAGAACGCACATGGGGGGGGGGGGGTTGCCACCCCCCGCGCGCCATTTCGTTCCTGTTAGAGATAGAGCTTCGCGGTAAAGACCAAAAAGATTCTTTTGGAAGAGACGAATCCAATGATACCCAGTTTTACCTTCTCAGGTCAGTCATTGACCTTCCAGGTCAGGTCAAACTAAAAAAATGTTGCTGTTTTGGGTCACCGTTGGATATCAAGTGCGCTGCTTAGCATATACCGATGACGATGCCGTTTTCTGGCGCAAAGCCAGCTAGAACCTCTTTGTAACATTACCCGACCAGATTTTTGCTGCTGAGGTCATTCCAGGTCAAGTTAGGTCAAGGTCAATGATATGTGTTTGTATGTCTGTGTGTGTCTGTGTGTATACTGATGTGTGCACCGATTGTTTATGTGTCCATATTACATGAAATCATGACCTGAGAAGCTTTTACCAAAAATGCAGTCAAAAAACTTCACGAAAAGTAAATTACGCTTGCCTAAAACGCAATTACTTTAGATGACCTGGGTTGACCTAGACCCTGACCTTGACATCTGTACATCGTCGAACAACATGTTCCATGACAGGTGGGAGGTAAGACTGGCAAAAAAGGCCGAAATCAAGGTGTCAAAAGCTCACAAGGCCCATAGCCAACGCAAGATGTTGAGAATTGGTCATTCGGGTCATGACATGACCTGAAAAATAAGGTCATATCTCCGAAACCAAAAACCACAGAAACTTGAAATTTTCAGGGGACATCAAGACAGTGTTCCAGAATTATATTTTGGTTTGGGTGTCAGAGGGGTAAATTATTCAGTTGCCAGGGAGATGAGAGTGGAAAATTACCGGTCAGATATAGCTAAAAACAGGTGGGAGTGGTAAGCATGGAGGGGAGATGGATTGATAGCATACATCACCACACACATGAGGTAGAATGTAGCTTGCATATTACATGAATCATTATGATGTTTACTACCCTCCTCGTTTTTGATGTTGGGAGTGGAAAATCGCTCTCAAAGATTTGAAATGAGAGTGGAAAATTGTCATCATTTGGATGTTGTTTCCCACCCAAATCGACAAATTTTGGGACATTGCATCAAGAAAGGATAAAGGAGCAGCTATACCAAAAATCAGACAATGTTGAGTGCAGAGCAGAAAGACTACCTGGGGGGGGGGGGGGGGGGGGGGTGGCAACCTGATCAGCCTCCGTGATCTCGGTGACCTCGGTTCACTTTTTCGAGTTTTACATGTTTCTAGGCTAGTTTTTGGAGCTGAATTCGAATTTAGCAACCATTTGAACATTTACGAAGTAGTTTTGGTGCCTTCGTAACATGTTACGAAGCTGTCCGAGGCGGTTGACACGTATTACGAATACCCGTCACAACCCCTACCGGTTGACCTGACCTGACCTGACCCGACCTGGTCTAAATGCTTAAAGACATCATCTCTGATCAAAACTAACACGATATTCGTGATCAGCACCCCGGAAAACCACATAGCAGCCACACTTTACGACTTTCTAACAGGTCCCGATTTTCCCGGTTTTCGGGTCATTGACCTGACCTGGAAGGTCACCCGATGACCTAGGACCTTAAAATTAGGTATCATCGGCTTTGTCTCGTGACGGGCAACACGCTCGTTTTTTCCGCGAAGCTCTAGCTCGATCAGGGGCCAAACGCGAGGGGGGGGGTCGTACCAACCCCCCCCCCCCTTGTGCCGTCGAAGGACTCAAAATGGCCTGTGCCGGCGAGGGTTAAGGCTCCTGACGTATGTTTCATTGACCAGAGGCTTTAACATTAACGCTTCTCTTGAGTAAACATTCAGGTGCAGAATCCAACAGCAGACGTGACCGAAATGTCACTTGAACTGGCATTGCTTGGCGGCGAGCGGTCGCTGATTGTATGCTATTTGTGGAAACCCGGATACGACTATTCTGTATTATTTGCAATTATTTAGACAAATGACATTGTCTGTTAGCTGCCTATTTTATTAGATTAATAACGCTTATGTTTGATGTAGTGTACATAGATATAGTCTGTTGGGGTATGTCCCGTGTATTTCATGATTGGTGTCCACATTGGCGTCATTCAACATTCCCTGGGGCCATCAGTTCCACATTTATAGTCACCAGTCGGGCTGCTGTGGTAAACAATTTGCTGATCTTATTACCGTGGGGTTTGTTTTTGCTTGTGACTTTATTTGGCTCAGCGTGCGTCATCCACCACACACGTCATTTTGCGATTTGTTTCTCAATAAAAGATAGTCTTCAAAGAGTGATTATCGATAGAGAGCAGCTCCCTCTGTATTGATATTGACTCGACGGTACGCACGATTCTACGTGCGCGACTTTTCACAGGCCGAACTGGCACAACAGGCAGCCTGTGAACGCTTTGAGCAAATCTCCACGAAGGCGAAGGAGGGTAAGTGCATTAATCTAAAATGATTTGTTCTCGAAACAATGTCAGCACCAATCAGCTTGAAAAGCCTGTCTTCACGCAAAAGGTTATAACTGCTCGATATCATTGGTGTTTTTATGTCTGAGGCTTGCTGTATTCTCGCAACTCATAATAGCAGCAAGGGAACGCAATGAAGCAAGCATGATTCTATGGACAAATGTATCATGTATGTACCATATTCTTAAAACGAATATGCTGCGACTTCTTATGGTATGGTTAGCGCTGGGACGTATATCGTAAATCTAGGAATTTTCGATAATCTTATTATCGATGAATAATCAACGAATAATTACAGGATGCTATATCAATATAAATACTTTACGTTTTGATTCAACCATTTTAGGTACGTACTTGGGTACCTGTTATAGCATATAGCCTAGGTCGATATGTGAATTTTCAAAAGTGTAAGAATGCGTAGTCATTAAATTTGACATGCGTTTGCAGAGTTGACCAGTTTTAAGACGCGACGGGTAGCTGCCTTCAAGAAACACCTCGTTGAGCTATCCGAGCTGGAAATAAAGCAAGCCAAAGTAAGTATGCATGACCTTACTTAGCTTCCTTTTATTTGATATATCCATAAGTGCCTTTGCATTCCTTTCAAGATTGCCTTCTTCATTCTTCTTGTCCCATTTTTTAAATAATTAACAAAATTAGTTTTTTGTCTGTATTTAATGAGCTTTTCATTCCTGTTTGATGGCGTACAGTGCCACATTACGATGGTTTTGTTTTGCAGTTTAGTCATCCACATGATTTGATGGTACTTTCAGTAACACATCCATGATCCATTTCAACTTTACCGATGCTTCCGTTTTTTTTTTCAAATGCTGTTTCGTCTGACTTTGTGTGTGTCGTGAATTGACTCATGTTTACCGGTGCCCTCAGTCCCAGGTGGAGCTCTTGCGAACATCACTAGCGTTTCTGAAGGCGCTATCTTAGCCGTCTGGACGGCCGACTGATGTGCGGGCCGCCTAGACGTCAGTGCTGCTGACGTTGATGATGTCGGACGTTGGCGTCACCGCGTCAGTAATGTGCAGTCGCGTCACTGACGTGGGCTATCAGCAACAGGGTCGCCGCGAAACTCCTAACAAAGCGGTGCTGACAAACCACTCCCGTGTCGGCCACCTATGTGTGCAGATGCGCCGTCTCCTGAGTGAAGGTGGAGTAGAGTGTACGCGAGTGGCGCGACCGGCGACAAGGCCACTGTGCAGTCTCATACATCTGTGCAGCCTCATACTATGGGTCAGTCGACACGGCGTGGGATGCTCGCCTGCCGGCTGAATTCACGAGAGTGAAGTGGAAATGAGTGTAGGGCGCCGTTGAAAGGCTTAGTTGGTGCCCTCCGGAGAGCCTACACATGGAAGAGACGTGACCAACTCTGCCGCTCTTGGCATCGCGTTTGCAACCATTGATATCGTGTGAGGCGTGGCCTAGTGTCAGATCTGGTGTCTTAGACATTCCATCTACTTTTTACCTTGGGCTGTGGCCGTCGAGTGCCCACTCTACCCGGCGTTGGCTGCTGGGACACTTGTCGTCGTTGTTGTATACCTCTGTTACCCTGCACTCTACACAGCGACTTGCGGCGAATGTTACGAAGAGCATGACGTTGTTCGTTAAAACTCACGATTAGAGATGCCTTAGTTCGTGATGACTTATGTTGTTTGTATGCTGGTTGCAACGCCCGCCAAAACGACGGGTGTGGGGATTCGTAAAATGCTGGGCTGTTTGCCAAGTACCACGCTGATCATGGTTTATTAACATTAATTTTCCCGACAAAGTTATAACTGTTATTTGTGCTGGTTGAGCTCTGTTGGAAGAATCGACCGCTTTATATATAATATTTTACTTTTGCGGGATGCATGATGGATCCCGACTTTGTAGTATTACTGTGCTATTTACTTTTACATTTTAGTGTATGCTTATATAGCCATGCAAGGTTTACCTTACCACTAAATCGATAAAATGCTCCTCGATGTGATTTCTTTTGCCGTATATTGGGGTGTTTGACGTATATTCTGTAGTTTTTGTTGCATTCTGAGCTGGCCCACAGCCCCTCCCTTTGTGCTGGCGTAACTTGAGAACAAGTTATTGGAGACAAGTTATGGAGGACAAGTTGTTGAGGTCGTTATTGTGCGCAGTCTCCTCTGCTGGACGTCATGATATTGCATGACTTCCGAACCGACAAACAGATGTAGTGTACCGTATTGGACAAGTGACTTTCTCGGTAGCCGACCTTATAAAGCTCACGCCGATAAGTCGGCGCTGCACTATCGTTATTCAGTGTCGTTATAATGTGACGCATGATTTGAACGCTTTGAACATAGCAATGTTAATGGAAATATATGAAAGGCAATGAGACGTGGATTGTTGCGTACGGGTAAGGCCAGAACTTTTGCGTTACGTGTCATTTTGCAAATAACCCCCACGAGTCTGTCCCGTCAGTGTAAAATGTTACAATTCGCCGTGTTCCTGTTTGTTACAAGCTGGATTATTAGCTTACGTCTTATTTACAATGAGAAATAGTTCACTTTTAACATGGGGTTTTGAGCTGGAATAGCAGTTTCGTAGCTTGAGCTGAGACTAGCACAAATCAAGAGCTTTTACGGCTCAACGATCACCCTAGACGAAGATATTCCATTTCTTGTTCCGAAAAGAGTGCCTTGTAGAGGAGTGCGTGCCTTGCACAGGAATGCAGCCACGTCATCGTCAGCCAATCAGCGTGCTGCTTACAGCCAATGCAGTATGCGTAGGTTTGAGCTACGCAATATGATTGGTCAATGCGTAATAAGCTTCCGCGTTAAACATTATTTTACATAGAATATAGTTCGTCCTATATTAAAATATAGAAAATAATTGTTTTTACAAAAAGGTTTTATCTTATTTCATGATTATTTTGAGCATAAAAAATCATAAATCAATAGCAAAATACTGATTTCAGGAAAGTGGACTGTTTCCTTTAAAGGCGCCTAAAGATATGCTACATTGTTAGTCACAAAGGACACGCACGGGAGAAACTGAAATCCACCTATAACACTGAGCTTTTCAGGCTGTTCATGATCGTTTTGGCAATGCCAGCAGGCTCGACAAGCGGCAGCTATATGCTAGATGCGAAATCCAGGTCTGAAATTGAGCTCATACACATTTTGTTGACAGATGACGATTTTGCTCGTGATATGCATGAGTCGCATGACTGCTGCGTGCTCACCAGTTTATCTGACAGTTTTCAGGGGCAGGTATACTTCTTGACTCGGGAACAGGTGCGACGGAACGCCTTCCTGAAGTCTCTGCTGAAGATGACGCACACGAGGGGAGTGCAGATGGCCGTGATACCCCCGCTGCTGACGACAAGGGAGAACAGCACGTAGCGCGCCCCGGGCAGTATAACGCACTGCGCCTTAAGACTCTTCTCGTAATGGACTGCGGCGATGTAAGGAGTAAAAGAGATGAAGAAAGTCGCCAGGAAGGCGACCAGGGCCATCGTGGCCACGATATCCACCCTGCCGATCGGGGGAACGCTGGTCAGGGTGATTCTGGGCACGATTCGGGGCCTCTGAGCGATGTTGGTGGACCTTTCTGGACTCTGCGCTTTGTTGAGGGCGTCGGGTTCTCAGACGATCTGCTGCTGGCGACCTCAGAACTCCATGCCATCTTAGGGGTCGAGGAACTCGCACCACAGGCCGCCCGCGCCGCTTCCTCGACGGCGGTGACGAGAGGCACCTGCTGCTGCGAGGTCAGGGGGCGGTCGGGCCGTGAGGTCCCAGACTGTGTAGTTTGGGTGTTCGTAGCTGCTAGTGATGATCCATCGGCGACCGAGTGCTCTTCGCCAGCCGTGCAGCGGATCGAGCCTTCCAAGGGTGTAATCGGTGCGACCGAGGATTTTATATTACCTCTGACTTTTTCAGACAAGACATTGGTTGATTTGTTTTCTTCATTAGATGCTTGTTTAGGAGACTGATACGTCCATGCCGGTACTGTGAGCCTATCCTGGGCAGTCGTGCCCAGTTTGACAGGATGGAGATGCCGTTGTGCCGATGATGACAGGCGGCCCCGATGACTCGCCGGCCGGCTCAACGCCTGCTTACTGGAAGAAATGCCTGAGTTTACAGCATGCTGGTTGACACGCATATGTGATTTGAAAGATCGATATGCGATGTTAACGTAAGAAAAACCGATTATGCTAAGCCCGACTACATACTCAAGAACCAGACTGATAAGGGTCTCAAGTTCTCTCTCCCTCTTAGCGACCCGATTGATGGGCCAGTTGTCAGGCGTCCAAGCGAACAGCGTTCCACACTGCCCATGGTCCTCTCGCCGCTTCGCCATAAGCCTTATTGCGCAAGGAAGCAGAGCGATGGTGGTGAACAGCAGGATGTTCTTGCGCACCGGTGGGTAGCTGTGGCTTCTTATCACGATGAGGTAGCGCAGCAACGTAATCGTCACAATGATGCCGAAGTTGGTCGATCTTGTACATTTTACAACGTAGAAGCGTATGGCACAGCTGAGCGGTGATATAATGTGATCATTCCAGCCCTCGGCCATAGGGAAAAGCGTCCAAAGGATGTTATTCAAGCAGAGAAGGGACGCAAGGAAGTTGATCACCGTATGCAGCTGGCGTTCCATAACGATAACTAATACGACCATGAGGTTTAGTGTAATGGCCATTACGACACTAAAGACAACCACCGAGATGAAGACGGGATACATGGCCTTCGGGTCATCATCGTCCTCAGACGACCTCAGCTGGCAGACGTCCCTCGTGCTGTTGTCCGGCTGGGTGGTGACGTAGCAGAGGAGCAGCTCCTGAACGCGCCGGATGCACTCGGGGGAGAGTTTGTCCCAGAGCGCCGCTCCGGACATTGTGTCACCTCGGCGACCGACGCGCGACTGACCCGCCACGGCACCCGACCGCCGTCTCCTTCGCTGGGATTGATCCGTTCGTAACAGCTACGCTCAACCTTCTACCCATTCATTTTGGCATTAGCCATCGCCGAACGTTTCTTCCTACGCCCCGGACGAGGGGGGTCCCGGACGAGGGGGTTATCCAAGCGCCCCTTGCCGTCTCGCTCCTAATTGAACTTAAGCTTCATGGGTGTTCGCCGTCGCGGGCACGCAGTTACTGGTGCCAGTTTTAATATGGTCCAAAAACGTCCAAAATGGTTTCATTCTATCCATCATCAGCGATTCAGGGGTTATACGACAAATCGACCCGCCGCCGCGGCTGGCCATCGTGACCCAGGTCAAGGGACGGCGTACACTCTATTCTAATTTCTACACCTCAAAGTTACCGTCTGATCGCTTTCGAAACTGTCTCATTCGATTCCTCGAAGGCAAACGATTCGAGCTCGAGCGAGACGGACTTGAATTCGGAAAAAGGTGTTTTAGAATGGAATCTTGAGGCGAGCCACAAGCATGGCACTTAGAGATAAGAGAAAAGTCATTGAATCGCCCAAAAAAATGTTGTGTGTACGTTTCAGGTCATCAGTACCTACCTAATGAATGCATATATTTGTAAATTTTATCAAAAGCTGTAGGTCATCCCATGGTAAAGCAAAAGCCCTAAAAACAGGCAAACCAGTGTTTGCAGTTTGTGTAATTCGAGCTTTTAAGGACTTCATGTCCGCGATTTCGTAAAGTAATTCCCTTGCGTGAATCTGGTAGGGCTAGCTACCAAATGCGTCGAAAATGGCGTAGTAGTTTCAAACATGTTTACACGCGAAATTCCATATACCAAGGCCCTAAATACAAGGTTGCACGGACTAATTTCTACTAAACCTACCAGAATATAGTTTCATGGTTACATATTTAAATAATTATTCAATGCAAATGTCTTAATTATTATATTGTAATCATTTATAAGCAATTTTATAAGTTAACCTCACAGGGGAGCAATGCCGCTTCAACCCTATTGGCCGTAGTCACAGTGTATATAAATATATGCCGTAGTGTCCAACGGTGGCGGCCATATTGCGCAGACCAAGAAACGGCTGCCGCCTGTGTTGAGGAATAGGGAATTCGGGACCTCGATTTACGTTTGCGGCCGCCGCATCCGTTACGTTCAAGTTACGTAGATACGGAACCCGGCATCTTACGCAGAAATGAGTGGGGAACACGATCGTATCTTCAGAATTCCTCAAATTCACTCGCCGGACCTACATTTGCCCCGGCCGAGGGGGTTGATTGAACCCACCTCGCTAATGCGCCGCTAATTAAACTAGAATTAAGCGGTAAATTGGTCGTTTGCGACAAAGGATAATGCAGAGTGACTGGTAGGAACCCGCTGTAAAGGTCCCGGGTCAACCGGTGACCTCTGAGGTCAGGTCAAGTGATCTAAGGCACGGGTTCGGTTTTTGGTAAATAACTTCGCCAAAAATGGCCGTAGAGCCGCGATTTTGGCATCATCGTGTTCAGCTAGCTCAGGCGCATCGAGTGATATACTTTTTGTTCGGGTCAGGTCAACTTAGGGTGTTGACCTCAGGTCAAGGTCAGGTCAGCACCCCCAGGTCACGAAGTTGGTCGAAAGCGGTCATGTCGCATATCATTCGATTCGGCAGGTTTTCCTGAGTCCATTGGTGGCTTTCCCGACTCGCTAGCTCAATTTGATCGGGAGTTATTGAAGAAAAACTGTGACCCTTGTGACGTCACAAATGACGTCACGCAAGGGCAACAATGCAAATATGAAGCATAGAACCTTGCAAGGAGTGCATCAAATCATGATTTTATATGCTTGAGATAGTTTCAGATCATTCTCGGCGCCAAAATAGCAATTTTCATATTTCCCCATTGACTTATTGTAGGAGTTGGAGTGGGCCATTCTGCCCGCATTTGCATCTCTGCGGCCGAGAGCATGCTGGCGGCCGGCGCCCCGGGCGAGGGCGCGACCGAGGCGGCGCGCGGGCTGTGCTCGGGTTTGCATCTCTACGGCCGGGAACGCGCCGGCGGCCGGCGCCCCGGGCGAGGGCGCTGCCGAGGCGGCGCGGGGAGTGCTCAGTGTTGGGGAGGGATTCTGATGGTTACTGCTGTGTCGGACGGTTGTCCAGGTCGAGCTGTGTAGTGCTCGCGATGTGATATTGCTTGGTGTCACTCACAATACAGCGAAGTCAATGCATCATTCGCTTTGCAAGTTACAACACGGTCTACATTGGTGACAGCGGTGAGTCCCAATTCATTTGGACCATGAGCCTTTACACCCTGTTCGTTGATCGGCCATGATACCGTATTTTTTCGGTGATCTGCTGCCGTGGCCGTGCTGCTGACGTGCTGCCGTGGACGCTGCTGATCTGCTGCCGTGGACGCTGCTGATCTGCTGCCGTGGTCGCTGCTGCCGTGCAGCTGTGGCCGCTGCTGACGTGCTGCCGT